TTTTTTTTTTTTTGAGGGGGGTGTTATTTCTTCAGAATCAGGCGATTTTTTTTTGGTCCGGCTTGGGTGCTTTGGGTTTGGAGGTTTGTTTTCCCCAAATCCGCCTCTGGAGGTTAATTGAACCTGCTGCTCTTCGAGGCTAAAACTTCAGCCCCCCGAAGTGAAACCCGGGAACCCTTTGACATCTCCGGTCTGAACGGAGAATCGCCCAAATGCTTTTCGCGTTTTTCTGATGATGGCTGCCGCCTTTGGATGCCAAAGAGCTGAGCGCCGGTGGGGGTTCGCTTTTCTTGGTTCCTTGCTTCACATTTTATTTAGGGCTGTGCACGTGTTTTGCAACCCGTTTGTTGCAATTTCCATGCTGAGTCCGGAGATTTTATACCATTTCATGTGGGGTCTTGCTGACTGGCTTCCTCATTTTTTGAAATCCCCTTTTTCAGTTTAGTTTTGTATTCCTCTCATTTTGATGACTTTTCCCCGTAGGTTAATCCACAGGTAATTAAGTTATGCTTGCAGTTACTTACATCTTCTTCACATTACTTTGGTATTTTCTTTTAAAAGAATCTTGTATCACTGCATCTTTAGGAGCTCTGACTAATCCTGACCATTTATTATCTCCAAAAATATCTGAGCTGTGGAAAACCTAAGCACTGCAGGATGGGATGAGACTGCTTTCCTGCTTGTCTTTTGGTGTGTCCAGTATTTAGTGACTGGAGAACATCACAGAAAGGAGGCAGGTACAATACTGTCTCAGACTGTCCTCCCAGCCTCTGGGAATTGATGATTCAGCGCAGGACTGAGGCAGATGTGGAGCCTTTGTATTTTATACTCCTTAAAAATTTTCCAGTGAACGCATCCGTCAGGTTTTTTTGAACCCATACGCTTTTATCAACAACAAGGTCCAGGGTGAAAGAGGTCTGTAACTTAATTACATCTTGTGTGCAGAACTACCTTACTTTGTTTAACTTTGAACTTGGTGCTTGCTAGTTCTGTCTGATCCCCTTCAGGTCTTGTAGTTACTCCCTGTTCATCTCCCACAGGGCACTCCGGATTTTGTAGAACTTTCTCTTCTCTGCCTTTCACTCCCGTTGTCCTTTTTCTAGGTTGCAGATTCCTTATCTATTCGTCCCTTGTGTGGAAGCTGTTCCACCGCTTTGATCAGCCCTGACATTTTCCTTTGTGGTGTTGTTGAATAGAGAGAATTCAGAGATACCGAATAGTTATTTCTGTTTCACTGTATGCTTTTTGAAATGAGGTAAAGTGTTCATTGTTCTCCATGACCCCTTCGTGGCTGCTGGAAAACTGCAGGAAGGGCAGGGAAGTGTTTGCACTCACACACCTCATTCTGCTTGTCTTCAGACTTCCTGCCTAGGTGCTTCCTGCTATCAGTGGGGTAATTTTTGCCCTTCACACAATAAAGCTTGAACTGTTTATGGGAACCTGGGAGTGTTTCCAAATTCCCAGGTCTGGCTGTGCCCTCTGGCTACATCCCATGCTATATTGCGATGACATCCAACATGCATCAAC